ATCCGCCTATCTCTTATTCACTCCGCTCACACACTGCCCACCCTTCAATTGCCTCCTCATCCATATCCCACCACCCCCCCCCTCCACCAAAAAACAATCACGCCGGAAAAACAATCCCCCTTACCTGGTGTCTTAAACGTATCATGACAACCGAGTTCTAATGTCTCCCCGTCTCTTTTAACTTTTTAGTCAATTGTATACACAGTACAAACAAGATATTGCTGCTCCGTGGCACCCTTGCATTTTTTCTCTCTATTTTAACCTGTCCATAACGACCTCTGGCCGATGCGCCCATGGACTTTATTTTCACAAGTATGCCTCGTAACCTGTTCATAGCGACCATGTGTTACAAAGGTTTCCGCCAACCCGTCCTTAAACTCTTATGATAGATAACAATGTTTTTACGGAAATGAAATGGAGAGGTACGGTTAAGATTTCAGATATTTAAAACCATTTGTTGACTTTGTCAAATCAAGAAAGTTAAAATAACTTACACTCTGCCGTTAACGGTCACCTAACCACAAAGGTTGCCTTTTTCTGTAAGCTTGATTGGCCATTATGAACAGGTTCAATTGTATGTTTCTTTTTCCTTTTAAACTTTCATACCGAAGAGCATTCCTCTTCGAGATCTTCTCCTTCAGGTGTCAGGTCAGAGTAGACATTTACGATAACAGTGCCCCACTCCCTTCTGTTGCCCGTCTTTTTTGTAAAAAGAGTATTGCAACATTTATATACATGAACGTGAAAATAATTTTTCTAGAAACTGTGCCTCCCACCATCCAACGTCAAGCCCACCCCTACTCCAACCCTTACATTTGGGTATCATGTGACAGTGGACAGACTAAGGGTACACTCTTGTTAAATGCTGCCGAGAATAAAATAAAAGTAGAACACAGAACAAATGTTTCATGCATTCAGTGTTGAATGGAAACTTTTTTGTGACATCTGTTTGTGTCCGTGATAAAGACGACTACGTATTTCTGTCCACTTACTTTACTTTTGCTGTTCTCTTGTACCCCAAGGTGTCGCGGGGAGAGGTTATTAAACGGACGTGGGTCAGGTGTACTGCCCTTTCGATCATCATAATTTTAGACTACATCGATCTATCTTTTTCTTGGTTTTTTTGTTGTTGTTGCCTTGAAGCCATTAAATCTCACATTGTAGGCCTTTGGGGCAGCCTGTTGTGGCCTCATTCTCACACTGTGTTCGAACAGTTCAATTTCTTGTGTCTCTGGTTATTTTATGCTCAATTCGATGCCCAGTAGTTGTCTGATGTCTTCGTTTCTTTGTCTGTCTCGTCTTGTGATGCTTCGCGTCTTTTTGAGACATTTTATTTCGCATGTGCTATCTTCTCACTTTGGTTTAGTTTGTGAAGATTTTTACGGCATTTGCCACTCAATTAGGTCATATAAGGGCCGAAGATTTGATGTGTTACAAGAGCGTTACAAACACAAAAAAGAAAGAGGAGAGATGAGGACTATAGATGTTTGATAGGAAAAACGGGAGCAAGCCACACCACAGCACCCGTCAACCACCCACCATTTTACTTCGCTGCTCTTCTGTCCACTTGGTTTTAAAAGAGATATTTAAGTGTTTAGCATGACTGTACTCCTAAGGCTGAAAGTAATTGTCATGCTTATAACTTTAAAAGAAAAGGTTTGCTAGCCCCAACACTATCCATCAGTTTAATAACAGAGATTAGGATTTGCTGTTCACAAACGTATACTTGTACTGTCTCCATCCTGTCAGTTTTCCTTTGGATGGAGCATTACAAGTTATTGTTTGTTTTCTCGAGCTTAAGGATTGAACGGAAATTACTGTCAGGTCTTACTTCCTGTCCTCAAAAGACACGCAACTGACCTATTCAAAAATAGCCCATTTAATGCCTTCATTCAAATTCACCCTTCTCCCCCTTTGGGGAGATTTTATTTTCATTTTTGAGAGACAAACATCAACACAAATGTTATTATCATTTAGCATTATCAAAATATAAGACAAAACAAGAAAAAGTATCTCTCTTAAAGAAGTACTTACATCTCCATTTTTCAAAGAACCATTTCGCTTTTGTGTGTGTGTGTGTGTGTGTGTGTGTGTGTGTGTGTGTGTGTGTGTTTTGTGTGTGTGTGTGTGTGTGTGTGTGTGTGTGTGTGTGTGTATGTGTGAGAGAGAGAGAGAGAGAGAGAGAGAGAGAGAGAGAGAGAGTCTACTTTCTATGATAGTTATTTAAACCTGTAGATTCATTTCTGTTCCGACTCCACATGACAATTCTTACCTCTCTTATTTTTCAGACTGATTACTTATCAGACCAAGATTTTGTAGGATGGAACGTGCTTGTATCATTTTGGACCAACGTGACGTCGGGCGTATGGCAAACATGAAATTGAGCATTCCATTATTCAAACAAGAATCACCATCTGCTCAAAATGACGACCATTCTGAATCAACGAGGTAACACAGAATGCCCTTTACCCTCCAACATTTCTCCCGCCTGTACAGCGAGGCTACTGAGGAGAAGCAGACAGCATATCGGGGCTGGAGCTTGCCTGTACGGTGTCCGAAGCGGCTATCTTGTCCCATCGTCCTCCATACCGAAACTTCCTGAATCGGTGGAAACTTATGGTCGAGTGCCTACGGGGGGTATGGCCAACGTCACATCGACAGCGTGGGCCTCTTCGCCTTCAGACAGTATCTCCTATGGACAAACCAACAGCCGCAATACATATTTCATTGAAGAAAGCTCGCATGGGTCCGCAGTGTACGGAAGTAGAGAATTCACTCCGCCTTCAGCGCAAACTCATGTGAATTTTTGTACTAAAACACAGGTCTCTGAAAAAGCTTATTCGCCGACTCCGTTTGACCAGTCTTTCTCTGGTGTATGTGACGAAAAGGAGAGTGCAGAACAATTGACACACAATCGTTCGGTCTTTTCACATCAAGATTCCATTTTCAGGGACTCAGCTGTGTCTCTAAATGTTAATAGAGAAAACCAAGACAGTAAAGTGGAGATGCTTGCGACAGGCTGTGATGGGATGTTAAGAGATCTCTCTTACTCCAGTGTACGCAGTGGCAACAATGGTGTAGAAAGAACTCAAGGGTGCTCAACCTCATGTCTGTGTCATAACACTCAGAGCTCTCCAAGCTCAGAAATGCCTCGTTCTTTTATCCCATGTAAGAACATTGCCACTTACAAAACGGAGTTTACTAAATCAGAAACAAGTCCTGACTGCTGTCCGGAGAGTAATGATGAGTGGCAAAATTATTCTACACCGCTATTGCCAGCGTATTCAAATCAAAATCCGACTTCAAGAAGATCAAATACCAAGGACAAAAATGCTCTCGAAAGAATAGAGGGCGACTGTAGAAAGGACAAGAGGAACATCTTTGTCGAAAACAAGAGGAGTCAAGGCGAGCAGATCATAAACAGTGGCGAAGATGTCAACAACATTATCCTAAAAACCCATGCTGTATTCAGGGCTGAGTTGTGCACTACCAAAGGCGACTGCACTGATACAATCACAAGTTACGTCAGAAAATCAACACCCCGCAGCTGTAAAGAACTGACCAATAGGAGAGGGCGCCTGAACGGACAGACTACGCCCATGTCTTTGACTGAAGGTAAAGATGGCCCCTGTATAGAGAGACGGATAAACGGATCCTCAGAAACCAGAACGGATGACGATATAGGTGAGCACATGGAAAGAGGCGTGAAAAGCTCAGTAAATACAGATCATCACATGAATGCTAATAAGACTCTGAATGGCTTTGGTAAGACTTCAGCAATTGGCACAGAAGTAGAGGGAGAAAACAAGGCAGGATATAATACGCCGCCGTTGGAACGGACGGAGGCAACGAGACCGCTAGAGGTGGAGGCGATGCACGTGCGAGATGCATACGCCCAGATTGCGCCACAGAGCGATCACGTGCGGCAAAAGGCGTGGCCTGCTGTCAAGCAATTTCTGGACGACCTCACTCCAGGAGCTCTGCTTGCTGACGTTGGTAAGTGACTGAATTGAATGTTGATTTAGGGATTCAACCACCTCCCCTCTCTCTTTCTCTCTCTCTCTCTCTCTCTCTCTCTCTCTCTCTCTCTCTCTCTCTCTCTCTCTCATCCTTTCTCTGTCTCTATTTATCTGTCTCTATGTATCTTTCAAAGTCTATCTCTCTCTCTCCTTCCACCAAACCACCAAACCCCCTACCCTCTATCGTCCCTCTTCCCCACCCCTCTCTCCTCGCTCTAACACCCCCCTGCCCCCACCCCCCTACCCACCTTTCTGACCAATCACGAGTATTTGAGAAGTAGGATAATATCGATAGTGAAGTCTATGTCCAATAAAGTTGGGGGAGGGAGGGGTATACTTACTTTTACCAGCAACCATTCGTCGTTTCAGTTCCTGGTTTTAAAAGACTCCTTGAGGATGGTTGACGGATGGTCTGGCGCGGTTTGCCTCGTTCTTTCCTATCAAATATCCATTACTCTTTTTGTTTATACATATTTTATTTGTACATGTATATTTACCCTCTAACAGTTCCTCTAATTTTCTACACTTATATTACCTATTTATGTTGCAAGTGCCCCAAAACTCGTACTAAAACTAACCTTAAAGGAGGACTGTTTTTTTCGTGAAGGTTGCGGGAACGGCCGCTACTTAGATGTGAACCCAAAGCTCATCACATTTGGCTGCGACGTCTGCCACGCATTTGTCAAGCAAGCCAGGGGTCAAGGCCACGAGGTCATGATGGCAGACAATGCAAAGCTGCCGTACAGAAGCGGTGTGTTCGATGCCGTCATCTCTATAGGGGTCATCCACCATTTTGCGTCGAATCGACGGAGGGTGCAGGCGTTGGCGGAGTTGACTAGAGTGCTAGCCCCAGGAGGCAGACTGATGGTATATGTGTGGGCTTTTGAACAGACACACCGAAAAGTGAGTACATATAGTTGGACAGCTGGTCAGCGATCGATTCTACTATAAATGCTTGCAGATCGAGTACTTCCATTTCTCTTTCTTTGCCTATGCTGTGTTTCTGTGTCTGTCTCTCTATATTTTTATCTGTTCCTGTCTATGTATCTTTCTCTTTGTCTCTAACGTTGTCTCTTTTCTTGCCTCTCTCCCTTATAACCAAAGTCTCTGCCTGTCTGTCAGTCTGTCTGTCTGTCTGTCTGTCCGTCTGTCTGTCCGTCTCTCTCTCTCTCTCTCTCTCTCTCTCTCTCTCTCTCATCTATCGCTTTAAATGTCCCTTCTTTCTCTCTCTTTCTCTCTTTCTCCCCCTCTGTCTCCCTTTTTCACCCTCTCTCAAACGCCCATGCATACTATGTTCTGCCTCTTCTATGCTCATGTGTTTATTTTTTAGCTTGTTAATGTGTCGTGGTGCGTCATTTTGGAGGTATGGTCGGTGGCCTAGTGGTTAGGCTCTCGGACTCGCAACCGTAAGGTCGAGGGTTCGAATCCCGTAAAGGGCCCGACGTTGTGTCCTTGGGAAAGGCACTTTACAGGAATTTTCCTCACTTAACCCAGGTGGGAATGGGTACCCGGCTATAGACAGCGAAAGATCTTGTCAGCTTGTTAGTGTTTGAGCGCTTAATCAGCTGCTTTCACTGTATGCTGAGAATGTTTCGGAGTGTTCTATGGTCTGCTGGTGTAATAATATGGTGTAAAGCGCATAGAGCCTGCTGTTGAGCGGGGATATGCGCTATACAAATGCTATTTATTATTTTTATTATTATGTTTTTTTGTTTCAGCTCCTCTGTGTTCTGAGCTTATACAAAAAACAACAACATCATACGAGTTAATAACTGTATATCCTTTTCTTAAGTGTTTTTACACACATTGAGCTGAATACATGTATTGTTTTAACTAATGCCAGTGGTGTGACAGTTAATCACTTCACCCGACACACACAGGAGACCCGAACTCGATACCCGAGAGCGGAGAATTTTTATTGAGTATCTTAGTTTTTCAACTGGGATGTTGTATCCCTCTCACCCAGGTTTGGCCTTGACAGGGTCAAAGCCCACCTCATAAATTGTCTAATTTGTGTCAATGGGGGCGTAAAAATATGTACATCAAACAATTCATTTGAAGAGAGCTTGTTGGCCAATCCTCGCTGCAAATGAAACCATGTAAAGACTCCGAAGGAAAAGGACAGCGGTGATAGGAAAAACATTGCAAACACTTGCCTTTCTTTCACGTGTTCATAAAAGTTATAGATAGACTACTGCCGTTCTTTTCATTTACAGATGTTTTAAATGTGCCACTTGTTTGTGGATACACCAGTATATGTTAAACATGTATTTATGGAGTCAATGGAACATACTCAAACAATAGACCAAAGTACAGAAAAGCAAAAATTGAAAATTGTAACTAATGTCACCCCCGCCCCCCTTTTCCCCTTACTGTATTTTCTGTGAGTATGAAACACCGTCAATTAAGATATCGTTATTCGGCATAACCCCACGATCAGACAGTGGAAAAGAAACGGGGGGAAAACAACCAGCGCTGAAATCGAATTCATCTCAAGAGAATCATGGGTCCTCCCAAAGTCAGTCAGCCAGAAGTCTCCATTTCTTCTCTTCCTTTTTACCCTCTTTCTCTGCTTCTGTATTGATTAAATCCTGATACACTCTGTATTCTTCTTTCGTATTTTTAAAAACCCCTGCCGAAAATCTGTGGATATACAGTTGAACCTGCTCTAACGGCCTCCCGTATATAGACAATCACCTTTAAAATCGGCTACTTGCGTATTTTTTTTGCATTATGGTGACACTGAGTAAGACGGCCAGTTGTATAATGCGACAACTTTTCCCTTTGACAATTTATGGCTGTCTTACTCTTAGACAGTTAAATTCCGACTGTATTCGAATTTTAAAGAAGCTGTATATCGAGTTCTTCGCTTTGAATGCAGGCTCAAAGCAGGAAAATGTTCACGACTTGCACTTTGAATCAGTGTCTCTTTGACTCGCTGTCAGACGCTATTTGACTGCACTCAATCTCGGTACCCTGCTGTTTCTGAAAGCTCCCATGAAATTTTATTTTTCATTTCCATCTGTGTCATCCCTGGGGATGTGGGGAACATAAGGTCTGAAATACACGAGGAGAATTGAATAGAATAATTGAGCTAGCTGCTGCTCCTTGCCACGATCGATCTGACGGATGCTTCATAGCTGTGGTGGTGGTGGTGGTTGTGGTGATGGGTGGGGGTAGTAGTAGTAGTAGTAGTAGTAGTAGTAGTAGTAGTAGTAGTAGTAGTAGTGGTAGTGGTAGTGGTGGTGGTGGTGGTGGTGGTGGTGGTGGAAGTGGTGATGGTGATGGTGATGGTGATGGTGATGGTGATGGTGATGGTGATGGTGACGACGGCGGCGACGACTTTGCTTCTTTCTAAACATAATTTAACATTTTTTGCCATAACACTCACTGGGTTTTTAAGAACACTGTCAAAGCAATTACTATGTAAATTTAGCAAATTACGCGACAACTTAATTCGGTGAACTTTTTGATTTTTTTAATTTTCAGTTCGAATGTCAGGATGTCTTGATCCCATGGGTCCGGCCAGACTCCAGAGGTATTTTATTTGTTTACTTCTGTATGATTATGCTTAGTTCTTTTCCTTTTTTAAAATTATAATTGGGTTGTTTTTCTTTGTTTTGTTTTTTGTTTGGGGTTGGGGGGGGGGGTTGCCAATATATTTCCCTCTGTTCAAATGCGTCTTTTCTGTTTATTTTTTCCTGCCAGAAAGAATTACAGGGGAATCAATAATAGGCCTACTCAAACACCTGGGCTTCTTTACTCGGCACATTAGCCGGGATATAATATCATGTCACTTTAATTTGTGTAACATTGGATAGCGTTGCTTCTTAGACAATAATGGCTCTGTATGGATTCAGTAGAAAGATTTTTGTTTTGGGGATTTTCTCTTTTCTGCTTTGTTTTTTTTTTGTTTTTTTTGGGGGGGGGGTTAATTTGTTGTTGTTATCTTTTACTTTGTTTTTCTTAATTGTTCGGAGGGTTTTTTTGCTTTATTTTGTTTTGTATTTTAATTGCGGGGGGGGGGGGGGGTTCTTTTGTTGTTGTTGGTAGAAAGTATAAACTACTATTGAGCTTTTTCGAGAAAAAGACTATTGTTGCATTCGTTAACGGCTAAGGACTACTGCTCAAGACCAGTGTCATTGAATAGGCGCTAAATACAAGATGTATGAAGAGAGACATTGAATTTTGTGTCTGATTGCTATTTCAATCAGAAGAATTACTCATTCTGAAAAACAAAGGATAATATATAACGTGAATTCAAACTGAAACTGATTGTCTTTTGATGAATTCTGAGCCATTTTCTCAACATCACAAGCTTTAACCGTGAACCGTGTTTTTGTCACTGCAACGCCCCCGACGCATTATTTAGATGTGGGTTTTTTTCCTTTTCAGCGTCTTCGAGTATTCATCCTGGGATAATGTTCAAAAAATGTTCTCAAATTTAATAAAAGACATGTGGTTCTTAAAATAAGGCTTTACCATGCTCGTTCAAAGTCACCATTAGCAAATAGCTTAAACTGGTCGTATACCTTTTACTATTTTTACAATATTATATAATGTGAAGTTCTGGGTGAAGTACGGTGTGACTTTATGTCACTGAGGCGTTACGCTAGCCGTGAAGGCTGACCCGGGTCACCCCGAAACGTTGCTGGCTAAAGGGGATCTGGTGAAACCGTGACTGGCCTAGCAAGCCGACGGCGGATAATTACTGCTACGAAAAAATCAAAGGAGAAAACACGGACAGATTCAAACGGAAAACGACCTGGAAAAGTAAATGGACAGCGAGCTAGAACAACGATTAAAATAGGCACATGGAATGTCAGCGGACTTGGGGACAAAGAACCAGAAATAGTGGATTTCATGGAAAGAAAGAAAATAGCAATCATGGGCTTGTCAAACATAAAGAAGAGAGGCAACCACAGCAAGCTGACCCATAAAGGCTACCTACTGATCTGGAGCGGAACACCTGAAAATGAGAGAGCCAAACATGGTGTAGCTTTCATCATACACCCAGCAAAAATGGATACAATCTCTGAAATCAATCAGATCTCAGAGAGAATAATGAGCATAAAACTCATAGAGGATGGCAAAACAACAACGTACATCCAAACATACGCTCCCTGTAACGCCAGCTATACAGAGAGAGGAAGATAGACAATCATATTTCCAAGACCTGAGTGACCATATTAACACCATCAAGAACAAAGAAGATATGTTTATCTTGGGAGATTTAAATGGC